GAGGAGCGACGTACAACATTAGCACTCAACAGCAGCAAAATCGCCCGTACCAAAACCAATCAAACACCTGGCAGCGAGGAGATCGTGGGGAGACACGGCCCTTCTGCGATTATCACAACAAGTATGGTCACCCGACTGCGATGTGTCGCGAACTACAGGCCTATTTGCTCGCCAAATATCGCAAGGGGGAGATCGCATTAGCAAACCAGCCCCAAAACACCACGCCGCGAAACAGCGGGGCTCGACCAACGGCTTCCGCCGAACAGCTTCCGCCGAACAGCTTCCACCTCCTCCCCCAACAAACGAGCAATCCAACGACGACGTCGCGAAGAGAGACCGTGGAAACCAACCTCGAGGTGACACTCCTTCGGCATCTCGAAAGAAGGTGTTCTTTATCATGGGAGGCCTATCGACGTGCAACGATTCCGTCAGGTCAATAAAAAAGTACGGCCGCCAGGTCATGCTCGCACAAAAATGGCAAGTTAAAAGCCCCAAGACCGCCGATAACGATGCGATCACTTTCACCGAGGCCGACACGGAAGGGGTCGATATGCCACATAACGATCGGCTTGTGGTCGAGCTGCGGATCGCAGATTGTGAAGTATCTCGAATACTAGTCGATACAGGAAGCTCGGTCGACCTGATCTTCAAAGAAACGCTTGACAAAATGGAACTGACGAACCATTACCTCAAGTCATCAGTTAAGCCACTTACGGGATTCGATGGAGACACAGTCTACTCGATCGGAACTATCAGGCTTCCAGTCTACGCGGCAAAGACGACTCGCCTCGTCAAATTCGTCGTCGTCGACAAACCCGCCATCTATAACGTAATTTTGGGAACGCCCTGGCTGCAATCCATGAAGGCGGTACCATCGACCTATCATCAATGCCTCAAATTCCCAACCACCTTCGGGGTAAAAACCATCCGAGGTTCTCAGGAGATATCGAGACTCTGCTTCGCCGCAGAGCACAAGCTCCGATCCAAATCCGCGATTCCAGCCAAGGCGTGTCTTACGATTCTACCCGTAACTCAAGTCGATTTGCCAACTCAAGAAAGACCGAAGCAGGAGCTCGTCGTCGAAGTCAACATCGACGAAAGCGACCCCGAACAATGCGTAGGAATCGAAGCCGATCTAAAGGAGGAGATCAAGGTTGAGCTCGTACGACTTCTTCGCCGAAATGCAATGACATTCGCCTGGTCAGTAAGCGATATGCCTGGGATCGATCCCTCAATCACAAGTCATGAGCTTAACATCGATCCTACGTTAAAATCGATCAAGCAGAAGCGGAGGAAGTTAGGTCCAGAAAAGGCGCAAGCCGTCAATGATGAGGTCGAATGTTTGTCGAAGGCTGGATCGATCATCGAGGTCAAATATCCAGAATGGCTGGCAAACCCCGTTGTCGTCAAAAAGAAAAACGGCAAATGGCGAATCTGCGTAGACTTCACCGACCTCAATAAAGCATGCCCCAAGGATAGTTTCCCCTTGCCGCACATCGATAGAATCGTCGAGGCGACTGCAGGCAACGAGCTCCTGTCATTCATGGACGCCTTCTCCGGGTACAATCAGATCACGATGCATCCCAAAGATCGTGAAAAGACATCCTTCATCACCGATCGAAGAACCTATTGCTATAAGGTAATGCCGTTCGGCTTAAAGAACGCGGGCGCAACATACCAACGACTAGTCAACCACATGTTCGCCGATCAATTGGGACGAACGATGGAGGTTTACATCGACGATATGCTAGTAAAGTTGCTCACCGCCGGTGATCACATCGGCCATCTGCAAGCTTGCTTCACCGTTCTAAATCAATACCAGATGAAGCTCAATCCGACTAAGTGTACCTTCGGGGTAACTTCCGGAGAATTCCTAGGCTACATCGTCACAAAACGAGGAATCGAGGCAAATCCGAAGCAGATTGATGCCCTACTCAATCTCCCATCACCTCGCAACACTCGCGAAGTCCAACGTCTTACCGGCCGAATTGCAGCACTCAACCGATTCATCTCGCGATCCACAGATAAGTGTCTTCTGTTCTATCAACTTCTCCGAGGCAACAAACGTTTCGAGTGGGACGGTAAATGTGAGGAAGCCTTCCAACAGCTCAAGGGATACCTCGCCAGCCCTCCAATTTTAGCCAAACCTGAAACAGGCGAAACCCTCTACCTCTATATCGCTGTATCGAGCTCGGCAGTAAGCGGCGTTTTAGTCAAAGAAGATCGAGGCGAGCAGAAACTGATTTTTTACGTTAGTAAAACTCTGGACGACGCAGAAAAACGGTATCCGACTTTGGAGAAACTCGCACTCGCGGTCATCATGTCTGCCAGAAAGCTACGACCCTACTTTCAATCCCATTCGATCATCGTCTTGACCAATCAACCACTTCGAACCATACTGCACAGCCCGAGCCAGTCAGGTCGCACGGCAAAGTGGGCTGTCGAGCTGACGGAATATGATATTGAATATCGCAATAAGATAAGTGCCAAATCGCAGGTCCTCGCAGATTTTCTGGTAGAGCTTCCGCCAGAGCTAATCCAGACCGACCTACCTGACGAGAAGTGGTCCTTGTACGTCGATGGATCCTCCTCGTCCCGAGGCGCAGGTATCGGCATCCGCCTAGAATCTCCGACGAAAGAGATATTGGAGCAATCGTTCCGGCTCGAATTTCCAGCCTCCAATAATGAAGCAGAGTACGAGGCTTTACTCGCAGGACTACCTCAGCAGATGCACTAGCCGCCCTCGCATCGACTTCTGAACCACATCAAAGGCGCGTAATCCCGGTCGAAAGCATCGATTCCCCCAGCATTGTCTTACCTCGAGGAGTATACGCGGTTCGAGAACTCGAAGCGAACAGATTGGACGCCATCGAGTTACCTCCCCCCGAGGTCATCGATGAACCTGCCGAACAAGAGCCAGCAACCGAAGACTGGAGGATCGAAATCTTGCTCTACATTACAGATGGCCAAGTTCCACCCGACCGATGGGCAGCGAGGCGCTTAAAACTTCGAAGCGCTAAATACATTCAGTCACACGGCAACCTCTATCGTTGGAGCTCGACGGGCGCCCTGCTCAATTGTCTTCACGGCGAAGAGACACTCGATGTCATGCGGGAAACACATGAAGGAGCGTGTGGAAATCACTCCAACGGTCGAGCTCTCGCTCTAAAAATCAAGAACCACGGTCATTTTTGGCCGACAATGCTTACCGATTGCGATCGATTCGAAGCTCGCTGCGAGCAATGCCAACGACATGCGCCAATGATCCACGCACCAGCCGAGCTTCTGGCTGCTTCCTCGCCACCTTATCCCTTCATGCGATGGGCGATGGACATCGTCGGTCCACTTCCTCGATCCCGACAAAAACGATTCATGCTTATCGTCACCGATTACTTTATGAAATGGGTCGAGGCCGAATCCTACGCCAAAATCAAAGCAACCGACGTGAAGAACTTCGTTTGGAAAAACATCATCTGCCGCCACGGACTACCCTACGAGATCGTCACCGATAATGGCCCCCAGTTTATCTCCGACGTATTCGAGGACTTCTGTGCAAATGGAAAATACGACTTAGCAAGTCAACACCGCGATATCCACAAGGCAACGGACAAGCCGAGGCAACTAACAAGACTATCCTCGACGGCATCAAAAAGAGACTCGAGGATAAGAAGGGGTTATGGGCAGACGAGCTAGACGGTGTTCTATGGTCGCATCGAACTACACCGCGCCGATCGACGAATAAAACTCCTTTCTCGTTGTCTCACGGCATGGAAGCCTTAGCTCCCGCCGAAGTCGGTCTACCAACCATACGCAGAACGATGTTGACATAGGACGATACAAAAAACGGAAGAATGATGAAGGATAGCCTCGACATGCTCGAGGAAGAGCGAGATCTCGCCCTATTACGTATGCAAAATTATCAGCAGCAAATCTCACGATACTACAACAAACGCGTGAAAGGAAGGCACTTTGAAGCCGGCGACCTCGTCCTTCGAAAGGTGTTCGAGAATACCGAAGAATACCGCGCCGGAAAATTAGGCGCAAAGTGGGAAGGCCCCTACCAAATCACCAACGTTGTAAAACCTGGCGTTTACGAGCTGATGACGATGGACGGCGAGCTGATACCTCGATCTTGGAACTCGATGAACATCAAGCGGTACTACTACTAAAAAAAAAAAAAAAAAAGACGCTCACCGAGCTATACTCGGTCAAGCTATATCTCGAATGTGAACTACGATCGGCTTGATCCCAGTTTGTTGGGTACGTAGCAACCTCTTACGAGGTACAGCTGTTAATAAAACTTTATTTATACAAACTCTCACTTCGACATCTTTCACATCGACATCCTAGCTAGATGTTCGATCATCTAATACGCATTTCCCTACAATGCAAACTCTTAATCAATCCTAAGGAACAAAAACCTTACGATTGTGAGAGAATAAGCCGGGATCAGTCCCGCATCCTTTCTTAAATCGCCCGAATAACTACGTCGAGACCATTCTCACTATTCGGACACGATTAATGAAATAAAACAGAATAAGCCGAGTCATACCTCGCACATATTGTCCCCTTAAGCCGAGTCATACCTCGCACCTATTGTTCCCTTAAGCCGAGTTTTACCTCGCACCTATTGTTTTTATCTCGCATCTCGTACCTCGTATCCATTATTTTCTTAGGCCAAGTCTTGCGCCTATCATTCGTAAGTATGGCCCCGATAAGTAAGTTCTCACTTCGTTCCAACCTTTTTGAATCAATTTTCACCTCGTTTCGAACGTTTCATCTCGAATCTATTGTCGTTCTAATTGCGAGCTAAAACTAGGAATACTCGCATTAGTCATGTCGTTTTGCTTACGTATACCTCGTATTTATTCTCTCTTTATAATTTAGATCGCGAGCTGATACTTTGAGAAAATAGCATTCATTAATATAAATAGGTCGAGTCCTTACAAGCAAAGTTAAATAAAAAAAGTCAAAAGAAAAAAGGCAAAAGAAAGTATGATCTATTCTTCGGGCTCATTGCCGCCCTCGTGGTTCTCTTCATCCTCAGCATCATCTCGATCCAAACCACCATCTGGAGTTTCGGGATAAGCCGGAGGCAAGTCGCCCTCCTCGAGGTCCGTGAAGCTGAGGTTCTCGAGCTTCTGTTCGCAATCGCGCTTCGACGATTCCAGCTCGGCTCTCAACTCTGCCTCAGACATCTCTTGCCCCTTCAAGAGATCAAGGCATTCCAATGTACCTCGAGCCTGAACCAGATCGAGCTTAACCTTCTCGATCGCCTCCTGTTGAGCAACCTGAATCCTCAGCCGATCGATGCGACCGGAATACTTTGCCTCGGCATCCGCCCAAATTCGGGTCGTCTCCGCCTCGATTCTCTCATCAGCTTGTCGCTGTGCCCGGATGACCTCAGTGGCGATCGACTTCTCGACCTGGATCTTGGCCTCATTGACGATCAGCAGGTTATTCACTAAATCGAGGTTCTCTTGCTTCATCGCCTCGATCTTGTCGGTTAGCTCTTTAACCCCTATATCGAGCTGCTCCGCCTTCCTTTTCATGGTCTGCCAATTGTCCTTGGCGACCCTTTGCTCCTCGATGGCGAAGTCACGCTCTTTCACTGCCTTATCGCCAGCAGCCTGGGCATCCTTTAGCCGAGCGGCACCATGTACTGACCCCGTGCACGGTTGCAGCTCGCGATGAACTGAGAATAAAAGCAAAAAATATATCAGTCGAGCTCATACATTAAAGCATAAAGTGAAGATTCCAGACATACCTTGAAGGCGAAGCTCGCCATATCTTTGAAAGCCCCATCGGTTCCAGAGGGGACCTCGGAAGTGGAGCCTCTTATCATCCCGAATAGCTCAGCACATTTGTCGACGTTGTTGACAAATGGTTCACTCGACTCGGGGTATTCGAACTTGAAGCTCCAGTCGATCTCCTTGGCTTTGTCATCGCCAGCTGGATCAACCCTAGGCCGTTTGGTCGCAGCCTTCGCTCCAATTTGACCGCCATCGTCACCATCCCCGGAAGATTTCCTCTTTTTACCTTTCGCCTTAGCCTCGGCGACCTTCTTCTTCTCGGCGAGACGAGCAGCCTCGGCTTCCTCCTTCCTTTTCTTCTCCTCGCGCTTCCTCTTCTTTTTCTTCTCCTCGCACCTCGCCGACCGCGTGGTTTCATCGGCCTCATTGTCTACTTGTCGAGTGGACACTTGGTCTTCGGCACTCTGAGCCTCGACCTCACCTTCTGCTGCATCCTCGAGATTTACGTCGCGCTGAGGAACGACCTCGATCTCCCCTTGAGCCGGCACCGGATCTGTGCGCGCAGGCCGAGATGCAGAAGGACCTCGATCCTTACTCCCGCTGTTCTTGGCCTTCAAGCGTGCAGTGAGGCTGGGTGCGTTGACTTGAATCGGAGCCATTGCTAGTGCTCTTTCTCGCAGGTTATTCTCCCTCCTCCAACTAGCTGAAACAGAAAATAAACATTTAGGTCAATGTCGATTACGAAAGAAACATAAAAACGTCGAGCTTACCGTTCGTGATACGAGTGATGGCAGCCTCGACTTTTCGACGATGTATATCGGGCCAATGTTGTATCCCAACAGCCCTGATCTTCTGAAGATTCTCGTGATAGTTCTCCGGGAACGCTTCGAGCTGAACGTTTCGATCTGCGAAAGATAAAGGAACATCAGTAAAAGATAAGGGAAGACTCGAAGTATGACCAAACTGATAATCTACCGATGCTCCTGCTCCACTCGCTCCTAAAATCCCTGGTCGTATCGACGACCAATGCCTCATCCACCTTCGCATAGAAGAACGATGCCTCCCAGCTTGGTGTTCTGTTGACAGGATAAACCAGGGAACAATCCTTCCTGGCTTTTATGGTGTACGTGCCCGGGATCGAGTTGTTCTTTTGGACGTTGGTCATCTCCTCGAAGAAACGCCAATCAACGTCGACTCCAGCCTCGCTCCCGAACAGCAGAGCTGCGACCATAAACCGAATTCCCGCAGGGAGAATTTGCGAGAAAGCAATACCCCTTCAGTGGACGTAGTCCGTCAACAACCTCGGAAGGGGGAACCAGAGATGACAAAGACTGAACCACGCCTCATAAAGCGTGACCCAGCCCTCTGGAGCTAGCCATGGTCGATCTTCAGGTCCCGGCGCCATCAACTCGCCTCGAAAACCATATCGCGATCTAAACTCCTCCAGACGCTGAACCGTCATCTGTGACGGAATATTTTCCAAGCGATTCTTGATGGCTCCCTTGCGCTTGGAACCTTTACGTCGAGGTCTAGCCTCCTCGTCTTGTTCCTCTTCCCCGCCCTGACCGTCTTCTTCTTCACCCCCTTCGTCAACCTCTTCCTCGACATGCTCAGCAGCCCTCCCATCACGACCATCTTCCTCGAAAGGAACTATTTGAAGAGACGTCGCAGTTTCACCTCGCGGAGACGCCCCATCAGAACGAACTCGATCCGCCAATTCAACCAATGAAGACTCACTTCGATCCGATTGGGTGTCGGATCTCGAAGACACCTCAGGGGAAGAGCTAGTATTCCCAGAGGCTTCCTGTTCGGATCTAGAGCCAGACTCTAAGCTCGACTCGATGCGCTGGCCCCCCGAAGACATTACTCGATGTCGGATAAAAATAAAAACAAAATACCAAAAGGACAAGTTCTAGAGAGAGAAAGGAATTCTAGAGAGAAGGGAGAGCAAGATTACCTTTTGTAAACGGAGAAGAAAATGAGAAGAAGAGGAGGAGAGCAGAATATATAAGGAAGAAGAAACAGCGGTTACCAAGGAAAGTAATCATGACCCGGACGCTTCCCAGTACTTTATTTAGTGACGGATTCCACGCGCTCCCCGAGAATCATGCTTCCGCTCGCGACTCCTTGTTGCCCAAGACGACCGTTACCGTTTGCGACCCTTCACTGCCCGAGACGACCATTGCTCTTTGCGACTCCTCGTTCCCCCCTAAGTATCACCTCGACTCCGAAGACCCCACATCGATATCGAGGTCCAAAGGAATGAAAGTTCTACAGCTCGATGCGTTGAATATCGAAGCAACATCTCCATCAACGGACTGGGGGGGGGACAATTGTTGTAGGTGGGCTGAGCACAGCCCCCTTTTTGTAATTTCGTTCAGGCCCATTAGCGAAATGGAAGCCCAGTAAGATCAAAGATCGACAAGCCCATGCGCGAAGAGTAAAACGAGGTCGTTCGGGGAGACGACCCTTTCATATCAAAGGGACAGCTCGCCACCTCGACACGGATGGGACAGCTCGCCACGTCAACACAGATGAAACAGCTCGCCAGCATGACGTTTTAATAGACGGTCGGTCAGGTCTATCTACCCGGCCGCCCAAGCTAATCTGACCGAGATGTAACCTAATTTCAACACTATAAATAGCCCTGTAACTTCATTTATTACGGGATCCGTAATCTGAAATAGAGACTGAAAAACTCTATACTTAAATCTTCAACTCTTACCTCGTATACTTGACCTCGTAATATCACCTCGAAAACATCATATCGATCTCACCTCTATTCAAACAAGAATCTCCGAGCTCCACCTAGATACATTTACCAAAGTGACCTCGTATTCAGATACAATACAACAATAAGATCGGAAAATTTACCGGCGGTCCTTATCAGTTTTGCAGCGGCATCAAGCAAGACTTATCTCTTTAGACACATGTCTGGTCTTCATGCTTCATATGTTCATGTTTCTTTACATGTGTTTAATATAATTGGATCGTTACTGGGCTTCGTTTGTACTATGTACCACCTTTAATTGCCCTTTCGGCTTTCCAATATATGGAATTGCAGAAAAAAAAAAATTATATATCTGAATGTTTCAAAATTGTTAACTCATCTGATTGGGAGATATATCAAATCAAAGTTAAAAAAATAATAAATTTGATCAATAAAAAAATTTAAAATTTGAATAATTGATTCAGAATCAGTATATACACCTGAATGTTTCAAAATTGTTAACTCATCTGATTGCTAGATATATCAAATCAAAGTTAAAAAATTATAAATTTAATTAGTAAAATATTAATAATTGATTCAAAATCGGTAAAATACTAAATTTATCCTAACATAAAAAATTAATATTAAAAAAAATCTTAGTTTTTCTATTTGATCAAGGAGATTAATCCTAACAATAAAAATACTCAAATTTTTTACTTCTATATAAACCACCACAATTTGATAGTATGTCAATCACACATCACAAAATTGAAAGTTCAATAATTGTATTCAAAACTATTTACTTCATTTGTTTCTTCAAATATTTCTTTCAAAAATATATATTTTTTCATCTAACTTTGTTTATAGATTATGTATTATATATTTTTATAGGTAACTTAATTTTTTTTATAGTTTACAGAATATTTAATTATAAACCTGCATACATGCGAGTACTTATCTAGTTTTTGGTAACGTATATGTATGCCTTATGGAGCAGATGTACAATAGTTATGGAAACGATTATTGGGCTTTGATTTTTTTGTATATAATTGACATTCTATCAAATTGTTTATATAAACATGAGAATTAATTTTATTTTTTATTTTTAAGGTTGGTAATTCATTGTTTAATATTTTTAATCTAAATAAAAAAAAATAAAGAAATTTTTTACTTTTTTAATTAACTTTGTATAGGTAATTTTTTTTAATTTACTAACTAATTTATCAATTTTTCTAAACTTTTAAGTTTTTGAAATGTTAATGATTTTGTTATATTGAAATTTTTTTTCCATTATTAATTTTTTTCCTATGTTTATTAACTTTGGCTTTAGGATAAATTTACATTTTTATGTTTTTTGTTTTGTTTAGTAACTTTAACTTTTTAAGATGAGAAATCAATGATAAATTTAGTTTTTTTTTTATTTGTCAATCAATTTTTGCTTCTAAAATTTACATGTTTTATTTTTTCTATTTTAATAATTTTACCTTTTAAGATTAATACTGATTATCAATTTTGCCTTTATCGTTAATAACACGTGCCAATATTTAATTGAAAATTTATTAAATACATGTTAAAATCTGTGTGGCAATAGTTAACAATTTAAAATATGTTTTTTTTTATATAATAAGATCAGACTCTGAACAGATCACACTTTGACTAGCTCTTCGAACAATAAAAAAGTAAAACAATACCTGAGTGACCGAAAGATTCAAGAATTTGGCATCTCCACAAATAATTGCTTGGACATGCGTTGGCAAAGAAAATTGTTCTGTATTTTAAACATATCCAACTTTATATAAACTTTACATGTAAATATTCTAGTAAAGTATGGTGACAAAACTAACCTATCATAAAGTAATTTGTAAATATATATTAAAAAGGTTTTATTATTATATTTATTTAAAGTTATATAGATTGTTCTTTATATAATTGAGAAAAAAAAATTTAATATTAAAATTGATTTTTACACAAGTTACCCCCAAAAACAAGTACAATTTGTTTAACAAATGTCTAAAAGCCTAACATCTTTCTCTGCTGAATTTTCCGACTAAGTTCCTCTGCCGATGGGATACCGTCACCGCCGTCACCACTTCTTCGGGCAATTTTTTCGGCGCTCCGCCACCACGCCTTCAACTCCTCCTGCTCAGGTAAACAATACCAAAATATTCAGATATGAAAACATATAAACAAGACAAAAACAACCAGTTAAACTCATAAGTGATAATACCTCAAGAAAGTCATGGTTTGAGATAAACTGAGACTCAACAAAGCAAGTCATCCCTCCAACCTTAACTGAGATTGAGCTGTTCTCTGAATGTTTCCTTGAGTTTTGTCCCTCTGTAGCACCTGGACATGTCGCCAAAACCAACATTGAGTCACAAGGATTCAAGAATTAAGCGATTTCAAGAATTGATTAATATGAAAATTTACCATCTATGCGGGCTACATAGTAACCGGTTCCTCCAAGCCCTTCTTCCCATTTCCCGAGCCTTAACCGCAAGAAGAACCCTTCCAGACCCGATACAGACTTCTTGGTGTTTATCCATCTAAAATGAAAAGTGAAACATCACAATATGGCAGGTGAAACGGTCTTTGAAGTGTGAACTGGACCTTACTTGAGAACGTCTGTGCGGGTCAAGCGAAGCACTTGAACAGCATCAAAGACCGCCTTTGGTGCGTCTGTGAAACCACTTAAGGGCAGCTTCGTGCCAGAGGTAGAAGCTAAAGCGTGCTTCATCGCTCTGTCTTCAGCTCCTGAACTGTAAGGTGGAGCATTCGGGCATGTTGCAGCCCAGTGACTTAGCTGAAAACATCTAATGCACAGACTTGACCCTTCCTCTCTTCCGTTGTGAGAACTTATGTTCTGGACTAGATCTCTGAGCTCGGTGTCAGTTACTTCCAAACAATCCTGTAAACGATGACCCTTTTTCCCGCAGTAGAAACAGACTAGATTCGCTTGTCCCTCCTCTTCGTTCTCAGCTAAAGAACTTGAGGGCATGATGTGTTTCATTGCTTCTAATCTTCTTGCAAACAAAGAAGCCATTGCTTCTGAAGACTCTATTCTCAGTGAAGAAACTATGGGAAGGATAGTGTTGGGATTATTGTCAATCAGCATTCTCTGCGAATCACGGGTTTTAGCCGCCTCTGTGGCTGAATCATTGGCCACTTTAGCCACTTCATTGGTGATTCTCTCATGAAGATTCTTTTTCTGAGGGGAAGAACTTTTAGAAGAAAACCGGCTAATCCACAAACTTTCAAGACCAGAGTTTCTGTTGGTTAAACATTGAGTAACCTTTTCATCAGCTTCACCACAGGCCTTAAGCTCTCCATTAGTCTTAGACTTACTAAGAGACAACAAAGAGATGTTTGGCTCTTTGTCCTCATGTTTTTTCTCGGAAGAGAAAGTTTCACTTGTCTTGTTAAACCCAACTTTTTCAGATGAAATGTTGTGTTCAGTCACTGGGCCAATCTCATTACCAGATGAAGACAAGTGATCCCCTTTGGTAATGAGACACAGTTCCTGCAAAGAAGCCACTTTAGCGTCATCCGTGGAATCCATCTCGACGGCATCTTGACTTCTTTTCTTAGGACAGTATATAGAATGGAAAAAAGACTGGAAACCGGTGTTTCTGCAACCACTGTTTTCCTTGAGACTCAGTTGTTGTTGATCAACAATCGCATTAACTTGACCATTAGCATCTGAGGTGGTGGTAAGAGCTACAAAAGGAGAATTATCTTCTTCTTCATTACCTTTCCAGATTCCTTTTGTCATGTTTGATATCCAATTCATGAAAGAACTATCTTGCTTGAGTTTTGAAGTTGACCCCAAACATTCTTGGCTTAGCGTTTTGAGCCGTTTGCTTCCAAGAATCAGCTGCTGCTCAAAGCCTGGTCTTTTCTTTCCTCTTAAGAGCAAACCAGCACTGTTGCAACTTTCCACACTCCCAAAACTCTCATCATCATCATCGGCATCATCAAAGTTTCCATCAGATAAAGCCTTTTCTTTCCCTTTAAGCTCTTTGGCACGACGCCTGTAGGAACCACTAGGTCCAGCCTTCTCGACATCTGTCTCATCTTCCGCCAAGCATTCCTCTTTGCTCTCAAATACCACCAGATCCTTACTAGCTGCAACAGCAACAGTTTCCAAGTTGTTCTCACCTGTTGCTTCTTGAGATCCAGCACTTTCCAACCTCAACTGTTCATTAGCCAACAAAGCTTCAGCTTTTCCTCCAATATCTCTCGGGCTATCTACTCGGTATCCAAAAAAAACAAATAAGAAACATAAATCTCTACTTCTCATAAATGAAATCTGATGAACATTATGTAACTTCATGTAATCATTTTCACCTAGAGATCTTTTGGAACTTCCTACTCCTCTCCCGGCTTCTTCACTCTCTACATCATCATTGGTTTCAACCTTATCCTCAACCATCTCTTCTTCTCTTTCAGGTTTCAAATCCTCAACAGAATCACCAACCCCTGAAAACACACAAGAACTCTCATTACCTCAGGGGCCATCAAAAAAAAGAACGCTCAATATCGAAAATCGATTTGGTTATATATCATTTAGTAACCTGACAATGGTCTATTCATTTCATTGCTCTTCACTTCATTATCTTCATCTTCTTCTTCTTCTTCGATAGCTGTGCTTTTCGAATGAACCTCCATGTTGTTGGTTTGTCCTATATCAGCAAAGAAATTAGGAGAGAGTAATTTTCCCTTTCCCGTGAAACTGAAATCTGCACATCTTAGGCTTAGACCGTTGCGAGGAGACCAGACTAACTCTGATAAAGCATCCACCGAAGCAAATTTCATCCTTGCTTCTGCATTTGCGCTACGGCTCGAAGAAGAACGTCTTAGCCCTTTACTTTGCTCATCTCCATCAACCATATCTCCTGAAACCAACCACCCTGAAGACAATAACGAACTAGGATCCATACAATAACTGACCTAAACGACCAAAAAACTAAACTTGCTTAACTTAAAAAACAAGAAACCACAGGCCCTTAAACCCATCAATAATAAAAAAAAAACTAAAAATTTAATCAAAAACCCAATATTGCTTCTTGAGATCAAAACCCAGAGAACAAATGATTACCTCTAGTTCAAGCAACCACTCTAAACAAAAAAAAAAGAGATATCTTTAGAGTCAAGTTGTTCAATTTACTGAAACCCTAAACCTCAGAAATCCAGAGTTCTTAAAATCAAAACCCAGAACAATCAAAAAGCAAGAATTTCAGAGTATTATACCGAGAACACCAAAAAATAAAGCTTTTAATCGAATCCAAGTTACCTCCATCGAGGAATCGATTTTCTACTTCCAGCGAATTCTCCACTGAGAAAAAAAAGAAAGAAAAAAGAGAGAGAGAGAAGACGAAGACGAAGACGACAGCGCCAAGCGGCTATGGCTAACGATGTGATTTTAAACTTGCTTCAAAAAGCTTTTCATTTTTACTACATTTTTGTTATAAGGTCCCTAGACCGCCACGTGTATACATTCCTCTCCATACATTTCACACTTCGGACATGTCATATAAAAGAAAAAGTAGTATACTTTTTTCTTCTGTTTCCGGCTATAAAACGATACAAATGTTTTAGAACTTAGCGTATGTTGTGTAATATAACGATAATAATCATCTAAAAGATTTTGTAGTAATGCGAGATATTTTCAATTGAAATATTTTATTCAAATGCAAGCAAACAAACTACAGTATTTTATTCAAATACAAACAAAATACAAATAAGAAATAATTAGTGTATCAGATAAATCGATAACAGTATAAATATAATATATGTTTAAGGTTTGAGACACTCTTTTTAACTGGAACTAAACTAGTGATTTACTGATTTTGGTGGACAACAAAAATAACTAGTGGTTTTCAATATTTATTTTCAAAACCACATCCTCAACTTAGTAATTAACTTTTTTTTTATCTAGAGATTTTTTTTAATCCTAAAACCTATATTATGAAAATCACATAAATATGTTATATGTATATATATTTTTTGTTTGATAAAAAAAAGACACGGTGAGTTTAGATCACGGTGTGGATCTATTTTGAACAAGTGATATCCAAGAAAAAGCCATTCGTTATCGACATCAGGAAGTGTTTTCACACCATTGACTCATCCAAATTTTGAAGGAAGAGATCGACGATCCCAAATTCTTTTATTCCACTCAAATATATGCATTTCGATTAGGATCGTATTCTATGGTTACGATTCAGACTTTCTATGGCAGATCCGACAGATATGAAATTATTTCATTCAGTCCATAATAATTTTAAGCGGGAAATATAAGGTTTTGAATCTTGGTCTGAGAACCTACAGAGAAATATTAACTGGATATTCAATCTTAATACGTTATGTAAATTATGTCTTCGACTAATACGTTATGTTCTCTTCCGCTGCATATTATTTTTTACTTAGCTTTAGTAAAATGTATAAATACTATATATATATATATATATATGTAAATTCCATTAGCTAACAAAAAAAAATTCTTCCAATGTGTTTGTTTTTTTTTTTGAACAAAAAATAGCCCAATGCTGATAGTATAACACTGATGTATACATATATGCATATGACCCGCGGGTTCGGCCCAAGTAAAACCGTAGTGGTGCGGGCTTGGACACCATAAAATTTGTCCAAATAAAAAGCGGGTTTTGCGGTCCAAACCCGCGTGGACGTTGGGCTTTTGCGGGTCGGATCAAAGCGGATCCGCGGGTTTGCGGGCCAACCCGCAAAATTTGATGTTTTCTTGTAAACTTCGAAAAGTGAAGTATTTTGTCATTTTTGATTAATAGATTTCGAAGTAGTAGTTTCATAGAGTGAATCGAAGCCTAGTGGAATTATACTTCAGCTATTGGGCTTTGTGATAGCTTCATTTCAATGAGATCAAAGAATCATCAAACTAGTATATGTTTTATATTCGATTCAATTCAGATTCTGTGATTGGATTTTTGAATTTGAGAGAAAATCTGGTCATTGTCTTCAACTAAAAACAAGTAATTTTTTTTAGAGTTTTAATTAATTTCAGTTTAGTGTCATAAGTTTGCTTGTTTTTTGTTGGTTTTGCTCATCGACTATATCACGGACGTGGTTTTATTTTGTCTGCAGCGATGCAAAGGTAATTTAGAATCGCTTAAATCTTGAATTGACAATAAATAGTTTTACTTGAAAATCACATTTGTTTGTACGCTAGACTAACAAATAAGCTTTGTTCATATTTTTTATTATTTATTTTATATGTGAATGTCTTGTTGCTTGTATCTTGATGGTTATTTAGCTTAAATTACCAGTTTTTATGTGTATCATTATTTGTAATTCATTTATTTGCTTTTCAAAACTAAGTGTCTATTTTTACCGTTAAATTGATTTTTCAAATCTTATGGTATCCTAGGGTTAGGAGTTTTGTATAAGAGGTTTATCGAATTCATTTGTTTGTTCATCGAATTTACTTAGACAAGAATTTTCTTTAGTTTTGTTTCTTATGCATATTGTAATTCAGTTACGAGGAAAATTTTATTCTCCTCTAGCAAATTTTCTGGTACTATAAATCTAAATGTCATAAAAACTTTAAGATGAAGAAGAAAGTATGAATCCGCAGGCCAGCCCGCAAAACCGCAGAATATAGGCGGGTCGGGCTTGAACACATCAATATGGGACCGCAGCTTATGATGGGCCAATCCGCCAGACCCGGAAAAAAATTAAACCCGCATCGGGTCGGGCTATTTGGACGCGGGTTAGCCCGTTTGACATCTCTAATATATATAGGCCACAAGTTTAGTTTTGTTTTGTCCAAATTGAACCGTTCGTATTCGTATAATGTACATAGTCTAGAAAATATCAATGGTGACATCGATCGATTTTTATTTCTTTTATTTCTTTTATTTTACAATTGAGTTCTTTCTTTTTTGTGTAATTTTATGTTTTCAATCTCATTCTCGACTATCCAAAACAGGGATCTCGTCCAAAACACTATCAGATTCCCAAATTTGGGCTACTTTGACAAAAGAAATTGAAATACTACTACTTTTTTTGGACGAATCGAAATACTATTAGTCTATTAGACAATTACTATATTTTGAACTATGTGCTTGACTCCAAGAGTCAATAAAATGAAGATTTCTCAGCTTTCATACCTTTTTATAAGATATGTTTGGTCTCTCTAATCTTTTTCGAGTGTGAAATTGTTAATAGTATCTACAAAATGATTTTTTATCACATCCTTTCTGGTTTTGGATTGAATATTCATTTGATTTTAGTGGAAGCTTCTACCAAGTAAAAGATTTATAATTTTTCATTTTAAAACGAAATTCTCATGATCCTCAATATTTTAGTTTTTATAAAGTGAAAATTCTAACGAACAAATTTATTCATGCCGAACATAATTCGACAATGAAATGAATAACGTATGACTTTTTAATTTCTCTCCGTGTCTTTTTAAAATTTTTTGGATTTTCAATAATACTAGAAAAATATTTTGAAGTGATCTGAGATGTATATTTAAGTGTTTTCTTTGTGTTTGTGTGTATCAGCTTTGTTTACTAAGATGTCAAAAAGTGTATATATGTTCCAAGCTTTACGTATAGAGTACAGACATTCCACATGCCAACTCTAGACATAAAGTCACTTCAAAATAGTTTTCCTGAACAAAATGCATATATTTCAATCATTCAGCTCAAGCCTAAATAATGTGTAGTTAAAATCCGGTTGAACCAATTAAGTTGAGATATTAATAGATGAATCTAATTTCTCTAAGCCAACCCTAATAATAATTTAAGAATTTTTGTGTTAAGACCTGTAGAGAAAAAACGGCTAGTGTTTTTTTTTTTTTTAAACATCTATATATTGTCTTAAACCAAATCGAAATTTACATTATTGTCAATGAAAATGACAACTACAACCAAAACATTATTTAAGAAGAATTTTGTAACGAAATAAGATTTGCTTTCTTTTTTAGATAAGACATCACTTAAATATATGGGTCTAAATGATAACAGTATTTTGAGTTGTGCAGGAAAAACGATTTAAGAGTGTGGTACGGATCAACTGCAGTACGTGCGAAAAAATATATTTGCTAAATAAGTGTAGTTTGTGTAAAACCAGTGAAACAGAGACGTATGTAACACACACTCGGGAATGCAAAAACCTTTTACTCTTTTATTAGAAATCACTTAGACAATCTCTTTAAGACTTGTCTAATCAGGATTACATGACCTTGTATACTGCAATTCAAGACTGACCAATTCCTAATCTACCCAAGTCCCACACAACAACAGTTGTGTCACACTAGCCTAGTTCGCTCACCAAGAACCCTAATTTCTCTCTCTTAGTTTCTTGTAAGCTCTCAATACAATCAGTGAACGGCCAACCTCTCTCTAGGTTTCCTTCACATATATATATCCCATTCCTCTCCTGAGTTGGCGAATATCCTCTTTCCTTTGTTGAGATCTTCAACGATCTTCCATATCTTCCACCTTGTGATTCGGTTTGCTCCTCACGTAATCTTTTTCTTCAACTCCAATCAGCTGTTGCCACGTTGTTCCTAATGTTCTCCCTCTTTACCGCGTCTTCCAGTTGTGTTACACATCGCGTCTTGATGTGTCACACAACCTCCAGAATCCTGATCTTACATTCTCACCCTTTTTGTCTGAATGTGTCGCTTCAAGCCTCCTGCAACAACACAGCCATAGAAACACAAAGAAGACCCACAAAAGGAACTAGGCAGCAAAAAAAACATAAGCACATGTCATTCCAAACACGCATAAGACATTGTTCAAAGCAACTGACACACCAAAAGAAACAAAGTTCACAAAACAAGTGACATGCTTAACACAGTACTAAAGCTAAACAGATTCATTCAGTCCTACACTCAAACACTCTCTTCGCTCTCTGTCTCATCTCCCTGCAGCTCCCCTTCAGTGTCCGACTCCTGCTCCTTTTCGGCATTGTCCCGTGAGCCATATTCTCCCCCTGCTTGAATGCACATTCAGATCAAAAATCATTCAAGAGGAAATACACATCCTATCAGATTACTTACCTCTAAGACGCAGTTGGATGCGCTTAACCCAGCATGCAAGCTGATCCAAATCAGCATCCAGAAAAGGGAGAGGCTCAGATTCTTCATCATCGGAACCTTTTCCAGCTTTCTTGTCCAGCGTGATCTTCAGAGGAAACCCTTGGAGCGGCTGATCACCACGATGACCTGGAATCATCTTCTGAAATTTCAACATCTGAAAGATCAGATTTGGAAACATCAGCTTGAGATTGACATGCTCAGGCGTACGTGCGATGGCAATGATCTGTTCATACACCAGAAGACCAAGGTTGAACCGTCGGCCTAGGATGAGGGAAGCCACAAACTTGACTCTATATTTCACCATGGTGGTGTAATTAGTCGTGGGGATCCAATTTCGACAGCAAAGCTTGTACAGAACCCCATACGTGGGTTGAAGATGTTTGGACCCAAAGCCCTCCCAACGATTCTTCCGGCCTCCGGACACAATACGAACAGCCTTATCAATATTCATCTTATCCCATTCACCAGACGACAGATCTTCCTTGAGCAGGAACATGCGATTGATGATGTCAGGTGTGAACTCGTACATCTGTCCTCGGACATAGATCAGATTAACCCCATTGCAATATTTCAAATCCGGCATATTCGCATAGAATTCGTGAATCACAGTCGGACAGTAAGGATCCACATATAGCACCGTGTAAGTCAGGTCCACTTTGTCCAAAATTCCTCGAACCTCATCCAGCTTGTGGTCATCCAGTGGAAAGAACTTCTGGTCATGAAAGGAGCGAAGACGCAAGGAGTCATACCTTTCCCGAGCCGCAGCAGAAGCAAAGTTGTCTCGCGAATAGCGCAGAGGACGAGTCAGCTCAGGATGCATGCGCTCATGAATGACAGTGGCTGCTTTGTTTGCACGGTAGCGAGTCTCCTGATCCTCATACAACGCACATACTTTAGCTCGATCATCATCGGAGCCACCACCCATCTTCTCATCACTGGATTGTGCGAACGGATTTGAGAACAGATCTCGAGGGTCCTCAAAGTGCGCCGGAGCATGGGAGGAAGCACCAGTGTGGTGACTGTCCTCATCGCTGCCAATTTCTTCATCGGAGATGACAACGTGTTCCTTTCCGGAACGCTGAACAGATTTCTTCTTCGCAGATAGGCGACGAAGAGCAGAGGCAAGAGTTTCCGAGTCCGCAGGTTCCCGGCGAGACGCTTCAATGGCAGAGGCCATAAGCTTGGAGGATTGGAGTCTGGTGGTGCGCGGCATTGTCGTGGAGATTGAATTCGGCGAAGTGAAAAGAGGTTCTCGATGAGTCGCACACAGTTAGGGTTTTGTGGCACACCAAACGTCAGCTGACCCTAATAAACCAGGGGGAAACCAAAAAACACAACTGAACAAACACATTAGCCCACCAACGAATGGGCTGAAAGCCCAAAAGAAAACTCATAGATTTCACACAAACTTATAAGCTACGTTACACACGCAGATCAATTTAATACACGTCAAGGCAAACACAGGTCAACACAAGGAGAGTCTCATTAAGGGACCCATGACAGAATCCAGCAAGCACATCTAGGCATCACAGACGAACAACGGACAAGACAATTCACCTATGTACAGAGAGATCGAGATGAAGGCCAATGTAGAATCAGATGTGAGCACAGATGAAAACATCTACCTGAGAGCACAATGGTGCAGCCAATCCTTCAGCCAAAGTGCTTTCACACCATTAGTCATTGACAATCTTCCTGCGTCAGCCCGTGTGAAGACCCATACATCCTTAACTTAAGTCACCCAAGAGTTCAAACCGAGTGTCTACTCCTCCACCACCAGACCATGAGACACTATACCTTGATGGATACACAGGAGTAACACTCTCCACTCTGAGACCTTCTACTCTTTTTGTGCTGCATTCCCTCATCTGAGGAGCATTCACACGTTTCTTTCAGGAGATAACAATACCATTTTTCTTTTCACATGTTAATTTGGGTCTCTAGAGTGTGATGTTAATCCGTGTTGTTATGACCATTGTCTATCCATTGTGCTGCCTTCCCTCAGCTGAGGAGCATTCACACACTTCAAAAACGTTCAGACTGGTATAGTGAAGTATCTCGCATTGCTCGGTCCTTACTCATAGGTGACTTTGGCCAATCCTGTCAGTGATCAGTGCCAGATTTGAAATGTTTCAGCATCTCAATCCCGCATGAGTGACAATCCTTTTGGCAGGATATCATAGCTCTCCATCAACTGGCATCGACAACCAAGATTCCCTGACACAACTTGCTCAGCAGGAAGTGTTAGTGATATATATATGAGACCCGATTATTTACATTTCTACATTAGGTATCACCTCGATTAGAGAGTTATTGCTCACACACACCCAAAGTCTTTCGCAAATAGAGAAAGGTATTGAGATCGAGCGGTTTGGTGAATATGTCTGCAAGTTGATGCTCAGATGCTACATGCTTGATAATGACAAGTTTTTCCTCAACTAAGTCTCTCACAAAGTGATGCCTAATGTCTACATGCTTAGTGCGTGAATGTTGTACCGAGTTTTTTGTGAGATCTATGGCACTTTTATTGTCACAATGCACAAGAAAGGGATCATTATGGATACCGTAATCCGCGAGCATTTGACGCATCCACAACAGCTTGCAACAACTTCCAAGAGCTATGTACTCTGCCTCAGCCGTGGAGAGTGACACACAGTTCTGCTTCTTGCTATGCCACGAAATCAAGTTGTTTCCCAGGAAGAAACACCCTCCAGACGTGCTTTTCCTGTCATCAAGACATCCTGTCCAATCTGCATCACAGAAACCTGCAAGATTTGTGTTAGTCTCAGTGGAGTAGAAGATACCATAGTCAAGGGTACCTCTCACGTATTTGATGATACGTTTGACTGCGGAAAAATGGGATTGTCGAAGGCTTGCTTGATAGCGTGCACACAACCCGACACTCAGACACAGATCAGGCCTGCTTGCGGTCAGATACAATAGGCTCCCTATCATGGCACGGTACAGTTTTTCACTCACTGTTTGTCCCTCTTCATCTTTTGACAGCTTGCTGGTTGTGCTCATGGGTGTTTTAGAAATATTACACGTTTCCATCTCAAACCTCTTCACCAGATTGCGAGCATACGTACTCTGTGAGACAAAGATTCCATCTCCCGATTGCTTCACTTGAAGTCCAAGAAAATAGCTCAGTTCCCCAACCATACTCATCTGAAACTCTCTTGTCATAGTTTTGATAAATTGGTTCACTAGCTCTTGATGTGTTCCGCCAAAGATAATGTCATTGACATAAATCTGAACCACCAGCAGCTTTGACCCTTCGTTTTTGAGAAACAAGGTCTTATCAACACTGCCTCTCAGGTAATCAGCATCAAGCAAGAACTGAGTTAGACGTTCATACCACGCCGTGGGAGCTTGTTTCAAGCCGTACAAGGCACATTTCAGCTTATAGACATGGTCTGGAAACTGCGGATCTTCGAATTCCTTGGGTTGGGACACGTAAACTTCCTCCTGTAAGATGCCATTCAGAAAGGCACTCTTGATGTCCATCTGGTAGAGTTTAATCCGCAGCCTGCAAGCAATTCTGAAGAGCAATCGAATGGACTCCAAGCGAGCGACTGGTGCAAAGATTTCATCAAAATCTATGCCTTCTATCTGTGCATATCCATGAGCGACAAGTCTTGCTTTATTCCTGATCACGTTCCCATCCTCATCTGTTTTGTTCTTGAATATCCACTTGGTACCAACAACATTCACATGAGCAGGTTTAGGAACTAAATCCCATACATCCAACCGAGTAAACTGTTCCAGCTCCTCATGGCATGCTGCAACCCAGAACTCATCATCAAGTGCCTCATTCACTGTGTGTGGCTCAGTGAGAGATATGAAGCATGCAAATTTTGCCAGTTCCTTGAAGTCTATTTTCTTTCCACGTGTGACCCGTCCATCATACACATTCCCAATCACATCGTCCAGTGAGTGATTCTTATGCATGTGCGGGCGTGTGTCTTCCACATCTTCTTTGACCGAAGTGTCCTCATCATGTGTCTCCTCTGTCAACTGAACGTCATCCTGGATCATTGTGTCACACACAGATGTGGGAATGACTTTCTCAGCTGAGTAGCTACTTTTATCGTCAAACACCACATTGATTGCATCTCCAATAAGTTTGGTACGTTGGTTGAAAACTCTGTAGGCTTTGCTGTTAGTTGAGTATCCAAGGAACATGCTGACATCACTTCTGGAATCAAACTTACCAAGATTGTCTTTATCATTTAGAATGTAGCACACACACCCAAACACATGGAAATAGCTTACATTAGGTGTGTGACCATTCCAAACCTCATATGGTGTCGTCTTGGTACCTGGCTTGACATACACACGATTGATGATATAGCACGCAGTGTTAATTGCTTCAGCCCAAAATCTTGTGGCTACATTGTTCCCATGCATCATAGCTCTAGCCATCTCTTGCAGAGTTCTATTCTTCCTTTCAACCACTCCATTCTGTTGTGGTGTTCTGGGTGCAGAGTACTGGTGCCTGATACCTTGACTGTTACAGAATTTTTCAAATACTTCATTCTGGAATTCACCACCATGGTCACTCCTGATCTGAACAATATTCCCTTTCTCGGTCTTTAACTGCAGGGCGAGGATCTTGAAGCTCTCAGCTGCTTCTGATTTCTCGCGAAGAAACCGTACCCACGTATACCGAGAGAAGTCATCTACCAACACAAAGATATATCTTCTGCCTCCAATACTCTCAGTTTGAACAGGACCAATCAAATCCATGTGAATGAGCTCTAGAATTTTGTTCGATCTGATTTCTGCGACAGCTTTATGTTGCACTTTGATTTGTTTGCATTTACTGCAGGCCTCACAAAACGGTGTTACCTGGAGTTTCAAGGTCAGGGATACCTCTTACAGCTTCAGCCTTTACCAATCGACTCAGCCCGTGAACATTCATATGTCCCATTCTCTTGTGCCACAGTTCAATCTGAGATTCCTTTGCTGTCAAGCATTTGTCCGAGTGACTCCACAGATAGTAGTTATTTCCAGACCTTATTCCCATCAGCACAATGTTACCATTCATGTCAACTGCCTGGCAGTCCACCTGAGTAAAAATGACTTTAAGTCCTTCATCACATAACTGACTCACACTGATCAGATTTGCCTTGAGTCCTTGAACATAGAAGACATTCATGAGTTGAGGTTGATCGTCTCTTTCCAAGTTTCCAACACCCAGAATTTTTCCTTGTCCACCATCACCGAATGTGATCTTACCACCTTTCACAGCATTCAATGAGTCAAACCAGCTTTGGTTCCCTGTCATGTGTCTTGAACACCCACTATCAAAGTACCAAGCGTCTCCTACCTGTCCCTTGGATGAGGTATACGCAACATTGGCTACCGTTTCTGGCTCCTCAAAGTGAATCCGGGCTAAGTTGCACACAACTTCCTCTATTGCCTCTTCAGATTGGGTTGTGTGATACAGATCTTTCTTGGCAATCCAGACTTTACCAAAGTATTTGGGTTCAACGAAACATAGACCCCTTTTCCATGCACCTCTAATTTTGTTTCGGAATCTGTAGCACCTAACTTTCTTATGGCCTGGTCTGTTACAGAAGAAACAACAGGGTTTCGAGGGTCTTATGGTTCTTTGCAAACCCTTACTTTTAGCATCACCAACAGCAGTCTGAGTTTGAGGGTGCTGGTTCAGGACTGACGATGGATTACCAGTGACGTGATGTGAGACTTTCTGTGGTATATCAGCTGGTGGTTCGGTAAACTCACTCCTTGATGTGCTTCAATACACAAAGTTTGACATATTCCCCAATGTAGTGGAACTTGTACCAAAATCTCCAGTATTTCCAAGACCCCAGTTCTTCTTAGGAGGCAATCCCATTGGCAGAATTTTATCCAGATTCTCAGCACCAGTATTAAGCATCCTGATCTTCTTGTGGTTTTCGGTCAGTTGAGCTTGAAGAGTTATTCACTTGTCCTTCTCCAGTTTGCACACTTCTCTCAAGTTCTCGAGTTTACCTTCGAGTTCGATATTCCTCTTCCTCTCAACTTCAAGAGCATCTGAATTAAGTTTCTCATCTTTGAGATCCTCCAACTTTTCAAGAACTTCTTCGACTGGATCTTTTTCCATCTCCAAAATGTTAATTTGAGCCTTCATTAAGGCTTTATCTTTAACCAACTGAAGATTTTCCTGACTCAGTTGAACCCAATTTTCATAGAGTTTCCTGTATTCAGCTTTTGCATCAAAGTCACCATCCTCATCTTCACTGTCAGATCCAGCAACTTCTTCGGGTTCCTTTTCAGTCTGTTCTTTTCCCTCAGCCACAAAAGCGACAAAATTCAGCATCAAGTCTTCTTCCTCATCGTCTTCATCACTTCCAGACTCTGATTCTCCCAAGGCAACTAAGGATTTATCTCGAGACCTTAAAATGGTTGGACACTCGTTTCGCGTGTGCCCAAACCCCTTGCACTCTATGCATTTCAGCTCCTTCTGCTTAGCCAGTGGACACTCATTCCTGAAGTGTCCATATCCCTCACATTCATGACATTGCAGATCTTTCTTCTTTCCAGAGCAAGCTCCATCGGTGTGAGTACTTCGAGAGTTATTCCTATCAAAGTCATTCCGTTGGCCTCTAGTGTTCTTATTTTGGCCCTTCTCAACCCTTTTCAACATTTTGTTGAAGTTCCTGGCCAGAAGACCCAGATTCTCCTCAACTTGATTGACTCTTTCATTTTCGGTTGCAGCTGCAAATGCAATGTCTTTTTGCTTGGCTGTTTCGTCAGCAGTTACTTCTAGTTCTTCAGCCTTAAGCATACCCACCAAAGTATCAAACTTCATGTCATCAGTGTCCATTGAGTACTTAACAACAGCTTTGTGAGCAGCGAACTTTGGTGGAAGACACCTCAGCAATTTTTTAACCAGTTTCTTGTCTTTGTATTTCTTTCCAAGAACATCAGCTTCATTGGCAAGAGTACTCAGTTTTGTAGTAAAGCTTCCAACGGATTCGTTTTTATCCATTCTGAGATTTTCAAACTGTGACGCAAGATGATCAATCCGAGTTCTTCTCACACTAGTATCTCCTTCAAAATGATTCACCAGAGTGTCCCACGCCTCTTTAGCCGACTCACATCCCTGAATGATACTGAATTCATCCAGATCGACTGCATCGAAGATTGTCGAGATAGCCTTTGAGTTGAACTTCGACAAGTTTTTGTCGACCTCAGTCCAGGTAATTTTAGGCTTGGCTATCTGTATCTTCTTTCCATCTTTGTCTTCTGATGCCACGGTAGGATCGTACCATCCTGTTTCAACTGCAGTCCTAGCGTCCTCATCAATACTTTGGATGACATGTCTCATACGTGCTTTCCAGTGTCCGAAGTTTCCAGCATCCAGACGAAGTGGTTTATGAAGTGCAATGAACTTCGTAGTCTCCATTTCTTCCTCAGGATCTTCACATGTATATAGATATAGGTATCTAGAAGGTGATTCTGCTCTGATACCAAATGTAAAACCAGTGAAACAGAGACGTATGTAACACACACTCGGGAATGCAAAAACCTTTTACTCTTTTATTAGAAATCACTTAGACAATCTCTTTAAGACTTGTCTAATCAGGATTACACGACCTTGCACACTGCAATTCGACACTGACCAATTCCTAATCTACCCAAGTCCCACACAACAACAGTTGTGTCACACTAGCCTAGTTCGCTCACCAAGAACCCTAATTTCTCTTTTAGTTTCTTGTAAGCTCTCAATATAATTAGTGAACGGCCAACCTCTCTCTAGGTTTCCTTCACATATATATATATCCCCTTCCTCTCCTGAGTTGGCGAATATCCTCTTTCCTTTGTTGAGATCTTCAACGATCCTCCATATCTTCCACCTTGTGATTCGGTTTGCTCCTCACGTAATCTTTTTTTCAACTCCAATCAGCTGCTGCCACGTTGTTCCTAATGTTCTCCCTCTTTACGCGTCTTCCTGTTGTGTTACACATCGCGTCTTGATGTGTCACACAACCTCCAGAATCCTGATCTTACAGTTTGTATATAATAAACAATACATAATAATGTTTGATTGATGAAAAAACAGTTTACGGTCTATAATAAAATGTTTGAATGGTAAAAAAAATAATAAACAGTACAAATTATAGATTATAGATAAATATTTTAGAAGTAAATATATAATAGTTAGTATAATTTGTAATTACATTTTTTATTTTAAGAAACAATTTTAGATTTGATATTTTGTTTGAAAGAAGTCGATACTTTTTTAAAAATGTAAAATTTTGTAATTTTTAATTTTTGTAAATGAGAGAAAAAGGAGAGTCAAATAGTGTGTGAATGTATTACATAAATAAATATTTAAATAAAAAATAGTTATTGGTCAATCTTATTAATTTGTGCGAAATTCGTTAGACCACTACGTAATACCAGCAGTACAAAATTAGAGTGCGGTTCAACAAATCTAATGTATTTATCTCTCTTTTGATATATGTGAGCATATTTACTTTATGTTTCTGAAAAACGCAAATTATAAGAAAAAAATACTGATTGGTAACACATATGTGGTTTTGTAAATAAATGTAAAAAACGCACCACACTTAAGTCACCATATAATCATATTTGTTGTGTTTTATCTGTCATCATTCTCAATATGATATAATTTTTTTTTTTGGCTATCTTCATTGAAATTAAATGCCAATAACTCTTTTAGAAGATTTTTGATTGAGATCCATCTGTTTTGCTGCAATTTAACCCAAACACTCTCGCACCAGGAGATGTAATGTATGGTGGTTGCAATCGATTTCCATATTTAAATTTTTTTTTCTGATTTGAGTTATACTATTTTTTTGGAGTTATTCCTTCGAGCCATTTACTCTGATTGTTTCTCCAAATTTTGATACTGCTCAGTTCAAATATTCAAATACTCAAACTATGGCAATTGAAATTTGCCCAAAAGAATAAAAACACATCAGCATTTTCTCTGGAGGGCGATTTGAAGGTGATTTAGGATTTTAAATTCTGCCGCACGGTAAATCTTTTGCGGCCAGCTACATCATGTTGGAGGAAAAGGAGGGCTCTCCTTCGCCAGTCTCTCAGTCGCAAGAGGTTCAGAGTGAGGATTCATGGGTCAGTGTGGTGAAGAATAAGCAGAGGTTATCTAAACATGTATTCCAAGTTTCAGAAATTGAAGGTTCAGAAAAAGTTATCGTTCTGGCAGAGGTTCAAGAAGGTGCACTACACTGGGAAGATCTGCTCGTCAGTAGATTCGTATTAACGGCGCCGCATGTAGCCAAAATCCATAGTTAACAAAATTTGGCCATTAGGACACAAAATAATAAAATAGATGTATTTGAAATGACCACAGAGTCGGTAAGTTCATAATAAAAGATGCAGCAGTCTAAGTAAGGGTTCTAAGGATCCCAATGGTTGTTACCGATAATTGAGGATACGTAGCCGGAGCTCAAAACGATCCATATGTGGGTCATTATCAAAAATGTCCCTCATTCCATGTTCTCATGTAGATGTTAGGGTTTTGATGTGGATGGGTGTGGGGTGTCAAATTCTACCCTAAATGAAATCAATAGCCGCAAGTGCATAGTTGATCGATTGTAGTACTTAGGGATCGAATCCATAGGGAAGGAGATTCTTTTCTGCAAAAGCCTTCAAAAAAAATATAAAGAAATGAAGTCTAGGACTAGATGATTTTTGGAGGGGTTTTGGTGGTGTCTTTAAAACGTAAAAACTAATCTGAACAGGAAAATGCGGGAACTAAAATGACCTAATAACTAAACCTAATGAAATCGACTAAAAACGATGAAAACAGCTAGACCTAATTGCTTGAATGAAAATTGGCTGGAATAAAGAAAAATAACCTAATTACTAAAGCTTGTATGAAAATCGGCAAAAACTTATAAAGACGAGACACTGGATTTTCAGAGAAATTCTCTCCGGCGGATGAACGATTCAAAACATTGCTAAAAAGTAAATTAAAAGATCATAGCTAAAACTTTTAGAACTCGAGTCACGAACATATGAATATGCAACTGTCGTTATCATAAGCAACTATCTCTCGCAACCCTGACCAGTAGGTTTTCACTCTGGCCCTGGAAGGGAAAAGATGCAAGTTTGCTTAAGACTCGTCAACATTCACAGTTCTCCCATAGGTAGGTTTGGTTGTTCTGCTATTCTCAAACTAGATCTGGCCTCAGATGAATACTTTCGCAACACCAAGGACCGATATCAGATTGTAGTTCATGACGCAACTCCCATGCATTAAAATAAGTTTAAAAGAAAAAGTTCTAGGATTCAGCTTCAATAGATAATGTAATCCTCATTGAACATATATAGCCCCCATCAAAAATCCCTTAAACCCAACAATAGAACTACTCAGACATGATTAAAGAAAGCAGAAACATTGTATTGAAAAGCTGAGTAGAAATTGATATTGAAGAAGAAACAAAGAAGGTTCAAGAGATAGATCTCTATCTCCTTAAACCTAAAAACTAAGAAAATGAAAGACAAAAACTTAAAAGCTAGTAAAAGAGAAATCGCATATAGTCTAGGGTTCTTAAAACATGTATTTATAGTGCTCAAGCCATTTCTGAGTGTCACTTTGGGTTTCTCCAAATAAGGGAATCATTTTGGGCTTGAAAATGGGCTTCGAGGTCTGACAGACCATTCTCCGTGGTCAAGAAGGACGGGACCGGTGCAAAATGGGTGTTGACGCGGGTAGGAATATTTGCTGGCTGGTTCACGTGATAACTTGCTCTTCGTGTAACTTTTGAATGAACTGTTGGATTGCCATTCTGTAAAGTGTGATGGAAATCTAGTAGTTCCATCTTTGAGGCCTCCAAGTTTGAGCTGGATCAGACGGTGAGAAGGTCTTCATTTGAGGGTGAACTTCTGACGGTTTGACTCTGAGCTGAATCTGGTCTGTGAGACCAACAATGGCAGAGAAGATAAAGACGATATTTTGTTATCAACAATGGCGTAGAAGCTGAAGAATTTTGTGAGAACAATCACATTAATCCAACCATTCAGGAAGAAGAAGTGAACTATGTAGGAGCACAAGCACCATATCCAAATTGCTTCAACAACGATTTCAACAACAACTTCTGGAATGCCAACTTTAACAATCTCTCTTACCGGAATCCAAATATAGAGAACCCTCAGGACCAGCATTACCCACCGCAGAAAAGACCATTCCAAAAAAGTTTCAAAACGGAAATTTCAGAGGAAATGGAGCTTTCCAGCCGCAACAACCATATAACTATCAAAGTACGGGATTCAATAGTCAATATGGACAACAGCAGGGAGTTACAACAAACCAGCTAGCTTCGCAAATTGGAAGACTTGAACAGTCTATTCAACAGCTTGTCATGACAAATGAAAAAGCATCTAAAGACATGAACGTGAAGGTGGACTGCATGTACAATGACCTGAACGGGAAGTTCGAAGCTTTATGTTCTCACGTCAAAAAGCTAGACGTCCAAGTTGCCCAAACTGCCGATTCTATGAATAGACAAAATGGAGCTCTTCCCGGGAGAGTTGAAGATAATCCCAAGAGGTTTTGCAACGCCATCACTACACTGCCCGAAGAAGGAGCTGCAGCCGATGAAGAGAACAAAGAAACCTCAGCTTTCATACCCCCTCTACGTGAATGGCGATGCAAAACAATCACCCTTTAAGGTATCCCAACATTCCCCATTTCAAAGACTTACCAAAGCCGATGATCCGGGACGTTTCTCTTTCTAATGTTTTATTTCAGGAATCAAGTTCACAGACTGTTTATGCGATTCCGGAGCCAATGTCAACATCATGTCTAAGACATTTGCTACGAATTGGGGATAAAAACATTAAAGAAATCGACGGTTAAGGTAATCTTTGGAGATTCTTCTAAAAAAGATACAGAAGAGTGATTCAAGACCTGCAGATTCTAGTTGGAAACAAGATTGTTCCAGCACACTTCCAAGTTTTAGAAATGGATCAAGATAAAGAAAGACCACTCATATTTGGCCGACCATTTCTAGCGACAGTAGGAGCAGTCCTATCCCACCGTCAGAGACGAAGTCCCAAACGTCAATTAGGAAATAAGGGGAATCGACCAAAGGATAAAAACAAGGAGAAGTCAAAGCCTTTTTCAAAAATCAAGATTATAATCCCACCAGATGTAATAGAGTCTAACGAGGAGCAGATCCAAGAGATTATTGAGAGCACCAAAAAGGTTTTAAGTAACGTTAAAGTCCGCAAGAAGAGTAAGGGAAAGAAGTTGGTACTACAAGGAGAAGAAGTCAAATTAACAACGCTTGGTAACGTTGAAGGCCCATCAAAAGAAGTGCCGTGTCCTCCTACCCCGATTCCCTTAACCTAAGTCGAGCTATGCAATTTAAAACAAAAGCGCTTAATGGGAAGCAACCCATTTAGATACAT